GCATTGGGAGATGGCTTGGATGCGGAGAGCAGTAAGGATCGTAGCATTGAGGATGGAGGCATTTCCTGCATCAGAGAACATCAGGAGAAGAGAACACAAAGAAAGCAACTTTGGACAAGCTGAGCTTGAGATGCCTGTGGCCATCCAGTGGACACCACAAATCCCAAAGCTCCTTGTATTTTGGGAAGAATTCTCTTAATACTGCCGATACAATCACTGTTATTAAATATTAGTGAAGTGGCCTTCTATTTAACACCAAAGACAGAATCACTGTGACAAACTGGGAACAAAGCATAGCCTCTGTCAGTAGAATAGAAAGTTAAGATCCAACTTTCTGTCCACTTCTTTGCCTTGAATGTCAGGCACATGGAGAAGGACAGGGCCTCTGGGGCCAGGCTGCCCAGGACAGAAGGGATAGTCACCAACAATTTTCAGACAGGTCGCTAAGAGCCAGTCAGGCATGTAAATCAGCAACCAAATACACAGCTGTTGTATTTAAGGCTTCATCTACATTGGGGGGTCATCTGGTGACCAAAGAGAGGAGGTGGCATTTGCTTGGATAGTGTCAGGGGGCTAAGGAGGCAGAAGTCCCAAGAATCTGGGCTATTGTTGACCTCAATTCAGCTCAGATCCTGCTCTGCTTCCCACGTGTGAGGCTTCCAACGGCTCACCTTTGGTCCAGTGACGTGGTGTCCTTGTAAGGACTGAACACCTTAACGTGCCCGGGTCATTCTGAAGTAAATAATGGACTAGTCAGTCTTCCCCAACTGCGTGCCTGGAAATCTGATTCAGAATAGATGCTGCCCTGAGCCTGAGGAAACAGTGTCACGGCTCGAAAGTTCAAGGTTCTGGTTTCACTATTGTCTGATCTTCAGCACCCTTAAAAAGTGTTCTTAGACTGAGCCTCATTTCCCTCCTCCGTACAGTGCAGCCAGTGCCACCTACCTGTGCGACAGGAGGGCTCTAACAATTAAACAGGGGTAGAGATATATGGGATAAAGCACTGCATGTGTATTAACTCCCACTTTCCCAAGAACTCTCCAAAGAGGAGTAGTTGGCTCTGGGAGGGAGCTGAGCCATTTATCTCAACTCATGATTGTTCATACCTAACACCCACCATCTGGAAAACACCTTCAAGCTTCCCTTAAAACTAATCCATCTAGTAGGAATGATTTTTGACAAGTACCTGCACTGAATGCTCCCAGTACAGTCATCACTGCAGTGAGTTGGGAAGACAGTATGGCAATACGTTAGATAGGGACAGGAAGTCCCAGAAGAGCTAAGGTCCCAAATTCACTGTCCCCATAGAGAGGAGACAGTGGGAAGGGTGGGGGTCAAGGGGGGCCCCTATCACACTCCTGCTCTTGTCTTTAGGGACATGGTGCTTTCTATTTTACAGAGCTGTTTTCAGGACCAAAAAAACTTATATAATTGCCTGCAGTTTTCTTTTTCTTTTTGTTCTGTTGATGTAGCCTATAGCCTAACAGTAAGAAGAGTGTGTCTTTAATGAAGCCAGTAAATAAATAAATTTTTAAATGGTCTCATTTACTGGGAAAGTACAAAGTTCTGTAAGTTCAAGATGTTGCTTTGCAACTCCCTGGGCCCTGTGGCCCACACTTCCTTGGTGGAGGGCCATTACGTACATGATGCCATCAGTGATTTATGGAGGATGGAGGTGACTCCCCAGCTTTCAAATCAGTTCAGGCTTGGCAGCATTTATTGAGCACCTACCACATATGGGAGGTTCCAGGATTAATGAAAGCTTATGTGCATGAAAGGACTCAGTACACAGTAGGCACAGAGTAAAGGCTTGTTTTCTTCCTTCTTAGCCATCTTTTGTCTGTTGGACGAAGCATTACATCTCCACAAGAGAGCAGGCTTTTCAATGGTGTTTGTACACATCCTCACCATAGGCTAAATACTGAACAAATCAGCTTTTTAAAAAAATATTACCTCCGTTTATTTTGCAAAAGACTTGCTGACAAGACATCCAGCAGCATCTGAAATTTCATCTAGACAAAGAAAGCAGGGACAAGGGAAGCCAGGAGCTCTGTTTTCTCATTCTGGGCTTCCCACGGCATTTCTCCCATATTCACACAGGCACACACATCAGAGCACATGTGCACCACTGCGATAAGGAGACTTTGAAACACCACAATTCATCACCCTGACCCTGGATGAAGAAGAGTGTGTGTGTGTGTGAGCGTGTGTGCGTGCACGTGTCACACTCCCACATGCACGTGTACCTGGAGGGCCTTTGCAACTCGTCTGACAATGTAACGAAGGCACAGAGCTTACAAGGGGCTGGAGGAGAAAGGCAGAGACAGAAAGAAAGGTGCCCATTTTGGCTACATGATCTGAGCCAATTAACCAGTTAACACTATGATAAAGGATGGCAGAAAAGGAGAGAAGCTCCCAGCCTGTAGTCCTGAAGCAGGAGACAAACATTAATCATCATAATCCCTGTGGGAGCTGGTGTTGTTCCTTAGCGTGTCTTGAGGGGGTGGCATGAACTCCATAGATGGCAATAAGATGTTAGCCTGCTGGCATGCTAATCCTGCCAGGCCAGAATCAGCATCACCTGGCACACTTGTGCACACACACACACACACACACACACATACACATAATCTAGCCTCCACTTCGGCTTCACTCCTGGAGCCAACCACTCCTTTCTGGGGGGAGGGGGCGGTTCTTGGGAAAATAAAATTAAAGGAATCCACATTTATGGAGAACTACTTTGTGCCAGGCACTTCCATTTGGTTACCTAGTTTAAGCCTCAAGAGTACTAGGAAAACATTTCCTTATTACTCCATTTGTGCAGATGCAGAAAACTAAGGCATAGAAAGGACACGTTTCAGTTTTTGTTTTCAGACACACACAACTCGTAAGTCGTGAATGGAAAATTCAAATCTAGATTTTTTTTTAAATTTTCAAAGTAGTATGTTTTCCTTTCACAGCACAACTGGTATCCTTTTTCTGCTACAGATTCCTGGATCCCATATGATATAGTGGTTCTGGGGTGGGGTCCAGGCATCTGCATTTGATTAGATTTTGTTCCCTCTTTCTCATTTAACAGCCCTATTGGGGGTAAAATTATACTATGATAAACTACATATATTTAAAGTGAAAAATTTGAATGTATATACCCATGCAACTGTCACCACAATGAGCACAGTGACCGCAGCCAGCACCCACCAGCTTCCTCAGGCCCTTGTCATCCTCTCTCCCTCTCTTCCCCACCCTGTCAGATCCCATGTCCAGGCCACCACAGACCTCCTTTTTCTCACTATCAGTTAGTTTGCTTTTTCTGGAATTTTATGCTTATGGAATCACCCAGTAGGTCTTTTTTGTCTGGCTCTGTCACTCAGCATGATTATGTTGGATTTATCCATGTTGTTGGGTCTGTCAATGCACCCTTTTTATTGTAAGTAGATTCCATCCTAAGGATATGCCACAATTTGTTCACCTATTCACTTCTCTGTGAATATTTGGATTGTTTCCAGTTTGAGGCTCTTATAAATAAAGCATCTATGAACATTCACAAACTCCCAAACCTTAATAATAAGAAAATAAACAATACAAATTGGCAGTAGATTTGAATAGACACTTCACCAAAGAGACATAAACAGCAAATAACCATAGGAAAAGACACTCTACACTATTAGCCATCAGGGGAAATCAATTTAGAGCCATAATGGGATATCACTACATACCTGTTGGAATGGCTAGAATTAAAAAAAACTAGTCATTTCAAGTGTTGGTGAGTATCACCCAGTGCTGATGGGCACATAAATAGATGCTCACTTTGGAAAACAGGTTGGCAGACTCTTAATACCAACCTACGCCTACCACGTGATGTGGCCCTTGGCTCTTAAGTGAATACCCAAGAGGAAAGAATGGATGTCCATAACATACGGCCACAGACATTCATCCGTTCATGAGTGTTATAACAGTTTTGCTTGGGATACAAATTCATGCTTTTAAAACCACTCCAGGTGATTCTGATGAGTTGGGTCTGGGAAACGTGCTGCAGGTTTTGGTTGTATGTAATTGCTCTAGAAAATGTTAACTAGTTGATGAAGGAATACTAGTTGAACGAACGTGTGTGATGTCAGGCCAGTCACCTCACCTATTTAGCTGCTCTATTTATTTGAACCATGACGGGGAGTGTCGGTGACTCCCAGCCTCCAGGATTCTATACCTCTGTGATCTCAAAGGGTCCCACAAGGAACCTACTCACCCTCCGGGAAACGGAGGGATTAATCCTAGAGACCAGTTTACGGGCCGTTGTTTCCCCCGTTAGACCTCCATCCCTCCTCTCTGGCAGGCACCCCGTCACAATCACACACTTAAATTTTTAAATGTAAACAGTTACTGTAAGGGTACCAGAATTGTCATTAAACTCTGCTGCTTTGCAGCACATGTGAGGTTGTGTCTTATCTGTATTCTTTTTGTCTAGAATTATTTCCTCATTTTGACTAACCTGCAAAATATAAGTCTGAGGACAGGGAATCATCGGCCCCCCCTTAATTGCAAACGGATTTGTCATTTGCAGTCGGTACCCATACCTGGGGCAGTTTGGATCAAAAAGAGTTTTCAAGGCTTCATTTATTACCACTCTTTAAAGAATTCACTCTTTGATCAAGAGCCTGGGGATTCCACGCTTGGCCTCCTCAAACGCGCTCCCACCCACCAGATCCCAGTGCTGTTTTCGTTTCTTTTGAAAGCCCTGTTTACTTCAGAAATTCAGCAATTGCTCCCGAAGTTCCTTTGATGTCTACTGAATTTAATGTATTTCATTGCATTATGGAAAAGCCGTTTCAGCTTTTGGTCTCAGCATCTTCTTGATGTGCCAAAGGGTCTTTTTGTTGTATTTTGTGTATGTGGTTGTTCATTGTGTTGTTGAATTTTTTTAAGAATGGTTTCAAGATTTTTTTTTTCCCCCTGTAAGACTAGCCAACTAACTGGCAGGCCGGCCGGCATCCTCTCTGGGCGCTATGGGAGGGCCTTGGCGTGCGGGATGCAGGCGCGTTGCTTTCTGCCCCTGGTGGGGCAGCCATCCTGGGTCCCCGACCAGGGCGGCGGAGAGGGTAGAGCCTTGTGTCAGGCCTCGAAGAAGTGGAAGACGAGGCTGTGACGGGGCTGGGGCGGCTCGGGACATCGAAGCACCCGGTCGCAGCCCGTGAGCGGGCCCTGCAGCCGCCGCGGCGGCCGAGGAGCACGAGCCCTTCACCGCACGCAGGAGGACTGGCGGGGGCGGAACAAGTCGGTCCTCACCTAAGTGGCCGCGGTGCCCCCTTTATCGGCTCTATTGACAGATGACTGGGCTTGGAGGATCAGCAGTAGCAGGTCATTCATCAGACCAGATTGAAATGATGATACCCGTTAAGGATCCTATCATTAAAGTCACCCTTAATGCAGATGTGCACGCAAATCTCCAGTGGGACTTCAGACCTCAGCAGAGTTACATTTAGTGCCGGGAAAGACTGCACTGCGTTTTATAAAGCTTAGAATCCTACTAACAAGCTAATAATAATCGGAATTTCTACATACAGTGTTGTGCCATTTGAAGGTGGACAGTATTGCAATAAAATACAGTGGTTCTGTTTTGAAGAACAAAGGCTCAATCCACAAGAGGAAGCAGATATGCCAGTGTTTTTCCACATTGATTCTGAATTTGCCGAAGATCCTAAAATGGTGACTGGTGATCTCATCACTCTTTCTTACACTTTTTTTTGAAGCAAAGGAGAGGCACAAGTTGCCAGTTCTAGGCTGTAAGTGAAGTTAGCAACTAAGTCTTGTTCCAAATTTGTGATTTTTGAAAAATCATGTATCTTGTCTTCTCAGAAGAGAAATATTCTACAATAACGGGAAGCCTTATGTTTTAAGTATTAGGTAATGAGTCCAACTAGTTTACCCTACTTAAAATTGAGAGAATAGGTTCAGCTTTTCATCATAAGGAATCCACATGCCTATTTAAAATGTGTGCCTGTTCAAACCTTAGAGTCTTTCATAGTATTTAAAGAAATGGTCTCTTAGCTACCTAAGTATGGCCTTGATAATTCAGCTTAATTCACTGTTTCCCCTAATTATTAGCCCTTCATACTTGTGAATTTTTTATACCCAGGTTTTAGCTCTAGATCATAACTTATGATCATTTTCATTATTTCTAAAATAGCTAGAGACTGCTTTCTTTCACTGTGAACAGTCACTATTTTAAAAGCTCAAAATGGGAGAGGAATCCCTGAGTCCTCTCAGTTTGCCCAAAGATTACATTCTGATTTCAAACTTGATCATATTTTCCCTTTAAGCTCTAGGGCTATTTTACTGAATAATTAATAACTTTGAAATATGAGTATCATGCAATGGAAATAAAATGCATAATATGTTTACTAGGCTTCTGGCATTTCCTGTGATAGTTCCAAGTCCCTGAACATAAAAATGTAAGTGTGGGACTGTGATGATTTATTGACATCGCAAGTTCTTCTGTGAGCAAACTCCATAAAAAAAGAGATGTATCAGATTGTTTTAATGGTAATTTATTTATCATTGTAATTTATGACATAAATGAATGCACAATTTATTCTTAATATTTTCCAGTCGTATTTTTTTCAAATAGAAATATTATATTTCAGTAAAATGGGGGGTGGGGAGAACATTTAGTATTATAAAGAATCATTGAAAGGCAACCCCAGATAGAATCCAGGGACCTCTTCAGGGTACCTGACATGTAATTAAACTACAATTATCAAGGCCTTTACAATTCATAATTCTGAACAAGAGTATTATTTATAAAGAAGTACAAACTGACTTTTACAGTCACCTTTAAATGAAGGCACTCAGTATTCTTCCTGAATAATATAGTTTCTCACATTTCATGCTAACATCTATTCATAATTATTTTATAATAAAATAATCTGTATCTACTCTTAAAAAAAAAAAGACTAGGCAAAGGGTGAGCAAGCAATGAGATTGACAGCTCTCAGAAACTGGGATTCTCCATTCAGTCAAGGGAGAGATGACCAAGAGGAATACTTTTTTCTCCTCCTAGTTTTCCCTAATTCCATTGCCCCAGCACCGCCTCCACAATAAACCAACAAAGGCCACCTTTTAGGAACATTATATCTCTCAACAATTAATTGACTACTTATTATGTTACCATACCAAGCAGTGTGCTAGGTATAAAAGTCAAGTGGCTTAAAGTGTAATTGAGAAATAAAGTACATAGATAAATATCTATATATCTGTACTGGGTGGAATAATGTCTGCTCAAAATTCATGCCTACCTGGAACCTGTGAATTTGACCTTATTTGGAAATAGGATCTTTGTAGATGTCATCAAGTTAAGATGAGGTCACACTGGATTAGGGTGGGCTCTAACTCAATGACTGGTATCTTTATAATTTAGATACAGACAAACCCAAAGGCAAAATGGTCATGTGAAGATAAAGGCACTGGAACAATGCTACCACAAGTCAAGGAGTGCAGAGGATTGCCAGGCACCATCAGAAGTCAGAAGAGGCAGAGAATTCTCCTCCAGTGACTCTGAGGGATTGCAGTTCTACTGACACCCTGATTTCAGTTCTGTAGCTTCCAGAACTGTGAGAGAATACATTCCCATTGGTTTAAGCCATCTAGTTTATAGTAATTTGCTGTAGAACCTTAGGAAATTAAATCAATACTCAATATATAATTAACAAAGGATGCCTATATATTATCAGACACTAATCTAAAAGCATTCACATATATAATTTTTACAATCTGATGAAGTAGATACTACTTATTATCCCATATTTAAGGTAACTATTTGTCATCTGACCGAAGACACTTTTGACCATTAATAATTGCATTAGGGCAAAGGGTAGCAGCCAAGATCACTGGGGATGTATCATCACCCTACCCACACTACGGATGAGGAGGCTCAAGTATAGAAAAGCTGAGTACCTTGTCCAAGGGCATGCAGCTAGTCGATGGCAGAGACAAAACTTGAACCCAGAGCCCTTGCCTGTAACCACCATCTATGCTATATTCAGTTTGTCCAACCTTCAGGACCCAGCCACAAGAACAAAGGGCCATCTGAATATATGCCTCAGTCACAGATCTCCATGAGTACAGGCAGGCCCAGGTGTCCAACCACCACCAGCCTAGGCATCCAAGACCTGAGAGGAACCAGGAAGATTCTCTCTAGTCCTGTGACACAGAGTCATAGGAATTGATGATGTTAAAAGGCTTAGATTAGAGTTCTAATTGTACCACTCAACTACTGTGTCCTGAGACAAGTCCTTTTCCCTCCCTTCTTGGCCTCTTCCAGTCTGCTGTTGGGCCCTTCCCCCTGCAGTGCTACCCAGATCACCTCAACATAAACCAGCCGTCCAAAGGCTTATGTCAGCCAAATATTAACAGGCGGTTGCAAAGAAATTTAGGGATGAGGGATCCTCTGCTGCCTGTGGACAGGCTCTAGAGCTCTTCTGGCTCCTAATCTGGGTGTTTGGGGTGCCCTAGGGATGAACCTGGCCAATAGGTACATGTAGAAGCAATAGGCAGGCACAGCCCCTTCCTGAAAAGCAGGGAGTGGGGATTGTCCAAACTATGCTATGTTCTGGGCTCTGCATTAGCTCCGAAGTCAGGCCCTGAACCCCAAATTAGACTGAGGTACTGTTGCCCTCAGTCTTTCCTGAGGCCACCTACAAGTCCTGTCCTTGTACCCTCCCCTGTCCCTCGGGTCTGACCAAGCTCTGGCACATGGACCGTGTTACTCGCCCGGCTCCCTGGGTGAGCTCTGCTTGGCCTCTACCTACCATTAGCTTCCATGGGTCTCTCCTCTGCATGGGAGTTTGCAGTATGGCTCATGATCGGGGCTGACCAGCTTGTGACCTGTGCCGCATCCCGTTAGTCACCACATCCTGCTCAATTTATTTCCCAAGTAACTTTGAGTCCCTATGCCTCATTGTCCACTCATGCGAGCTAAAACGCTTCCCAGTCGGTGTCCTGTCACTTCTGTGCTTTGTGTCTTTTCCTCATGAATTCCCCCTTCTCACCACTCCAGGAGCTATGACTGTAAAATGCACATTTGAATGTGTTATCTCCATGCCTGACCCTTTAGTATATTCCCAGTGAAAAGACCCAACCCCTCAGCCCGGGATTCAAGGCCTGCACCACCTGAATCCAAACTATTTTTGAACCTCACCTTCTCCCACCTTCCCAAGTATACCGCACTCCCACTTCCCCTGAAACCCCCCAGTGTACCCCAAACACAACACATGTGTAGCACCTCTCTCTCACTGTCCAAAATGAGTCCCTCCCTGTGATCAACTCTACCTCCTCATCAGCTCTAAGGCAGATCTCACATCACATCATGTCTGCAGTCCCTGGCTCTCCCTTCCTGCACCCAGCCTCCATCAGAACCAATCCCTCGCTGCCTGGGCATCCCAGCACTCTTTGACAAAGCTTATTACACTGCTCTCCCAAACTGGTGGTGAGTTCCCATAGTGCTTGTCTGTCTCCCCAGAGACAGGGCCTTTTCCACGTTTGTATTACCTGAAAGGGGCTCTGTACCTGTGCACAGACTTGACCTTTGAACAGAGCAATAACTACTCTGTGCCTGGCTCCTCCTTCACGAGGAACCCTGAGCTCCAGCATCACATGGCCCCTCTGTGGGGCTGAACCAAAGGCAGCAGATGCAGACCGCAGCAGGACCACGGGAAAGACTCACAAAAGCCTTTGAAGAAACCTGCTTAGAGGGGAGCCAAGGATGCTATTAAGCCCCAAGACAGGGAAAGAAAGAATAAGAGCGAGCTCACTTGGCTTTGTACGTGGGCCCCCTCCTTTGAAAGCTTTCCCCTGCCAGCAGCCAGCCGAGCCGCAGTCTTTGCTGCCCAGTCGGTGCTGGAAGGTTCGAGGTTTTCTCCAGCTCCTCCCTCTCTCCAATGCCCTGGCCCTCTTGTATTTGTTGCAATTTGGCTGCCAAGCCTTTTTCAAACACACATCATTAATTCTGCTATGCGGCACAAGTGGGATCAGGCGTTTGAAAAAGAAAAGAAATACGGAATTCAGGAGCTGGGGCTGCCACATGCAAAGACCAAACCAAAGAGAGTCTTTATTTTTTGTTGTTTTTCAACAGACATAAGGTCACTGCAAGCAGCAGCCATTAGCCTAATTAGACCCTCGGAATAAGCAGGGAGAGAGCACTCTGGTGGGAGAGAGGGAAGGGAGGGGGCAAAGGCAGTAACTGAAGCCAAATAATGAATATTAAACTCTTGTAAGTGATGTTTAATTAAGTTATTCTACGACTGAGGCTTTTTGCACATATTACCATGGGATTCAAAGTAGTACATTAAGTGCCCAGATAATCACTAAGCAGACAACACAGGCTGCTTCTTTTCCTCCAGTCCATGCCTCCATTTTATCTTCATGAGATTCCACGGGCTGAAGGATAAAGGAAGCCACAGTAAAACACACCCCCAAGCCCCTGTCTCTGCCTCCCCACACACAGCACACCGTGTGGCACTGGAGCTTATCACCATGTTACAGTCAAAACTTCCATTTGTCAAAAGCTTCCATCAAAAGTGAGAAAGACAAGCCAAAACGTGAGATAGGATATTTGCAAGCCACATAACCAGTTGAGGATTACTTTTCAGAATATATCAAGGTCGACTTACAGGAAGAGATGGACACTCAATAGAAAAAAGGGCAAATTCACAGAAGAGAAAGAACCAGTTAAAATATAAAGAAAACAAAGATCAAGCTCACTAGACATCAGAAAAATGCACAATCTGAAATGCT